AATTTCATTTTGGCACGTCCAAAGTTTTTCACCCCACTTTGAACTTTGCTACCTGAAAGTTTATTTTTGAACATTCGACACCAAACCTTCCTCGTCCCCCTCCCCACCCCCCAAAAAACATATTTTATGTTAAATTTAGGCACATGCTTAAACACCTTGAAATGGGTGAGAAATGCCAAAAATCGCCTATCACACATCTTATTTTGAATAATCACAATGACTTCCTAACTCATTTAGAGGTTGTTTATAAACATAATTGTATGAAATTCCAAATCAGATCTCATGTATAACACATGATCTGAATTTGACTTGACATAGAAGGTAAACAACTCAGAATTGGAGCGTACCAAAATACAATTTTCTCAAGCATTGGAATATCGAAATGCATAAAAAAATGGGGTATCAAACTTTAACATTGGTAAAGGTACCAAAACTGTAATTAATTAAGCTTAAAAATTATTTACCATTCCTTTTTCGATTTTGATATTTTAAAACAAAATTAATGTACTCCTTTGCTCTTTGGGGCTCCTTGGATGTTAAATTGTTAAAATAAATTTTGAGGATGTGAAGAGACAAAGCTTCATTTCATAGATTTAATGGAGGAAGAAGTGAAAAAGGGAAATAACCCTACTACCTTTACTAGGACGGCTTTGGAAATTCATTGAGGATGAGTTGAAAAAGAAGACCGGGAAGGAGTACACACACGAACAATTAAAAAATAAATTTAATCAACTAAGGCAATTATGCAGAAATTAGAAAAGTTTATTGACAGACAAGGCAGTTGGATATACTGTTATCACTGGTCAAATATCTGCAAACAGAGGATGTGTGGAAAAAAACTATTTGCGGTAATACATAGTCTATTTTCTAAATTTTATTACTTCAATAGTTTGGGTTCATTGTTTCTTTTTTCTTTCTTTCTTTTTTTTAGTGCACAAATCCACAAGTATGCGAGATATTTTAGGAGGAAAGAATGCAAAACTTATGGCAAGTTGTTTATTATTTTGGGTGGTACAACTGCTACGGTGATAATGCTCATCCATCTACCAAAAGTTCTACTATTAGTGAGGACGACAATGGAGAAGATGAAGAGCAAGAGGAGGAGGAGGAAGTAGAGTAATCTCTGGCTAAGA